TGAGTCTTGCCATCCGAAGTGACTCCGGCGAAGACCGTCACAGACTTCGAGTACCCAGAACGAGAACTGTTTGATTCGGTTGAGCTTTCGCGTATGCTCGATTCTTTATTGATAAATTGCTCGATAATGAGCCATTAATTTGGAGCCATTAATCTTCGAGAAATATCAAGTGGAGCGAAGTGGAATATCAAGTTGATTGACTGATAGGTTGATGATCGACTCTCTATGTATCGATTTCTTGATCATTCTAAAATTTTGCTTATTAGTACATAAAAACATACGGAAAACAATCAACAACCATAGAATTAATAGCAAAATATAAAACGATTACAAATCATTTGTTACGCAGGCAAAAAGCTACTGCCAAAGATCATACACCCTATTCCAGGTAATTTTGGGCCATCCTGTACAAGAGTTCCAATTTAAATTTTTAAACTGACCTCCAAGCAGCCGTTTTTAGTTTTTAATGTTTACCAAGTTGTTTGACTGTCATTTTTCTCAATATTGCATTCTATTAGGTTGAGTACCAAGTCTTTCGCCCAAATTCATTTTCTAATTGAATAAGTCCCAAGCTACCAAATGAAATACGCTTTTTCATTGGATAGCCCAATCGTTTGTCTTGCATATGACTTTTGAAAGTTTTTGAAAAGCTTTGTTTTGAAGGTTTTTCATTAGTAAGAAGCCGAGTGTTCAAACGACAAGGTCCGATGATTCGATTTGGACCGTTTCTTTCAATGCAATCTATTTTGATGACATAGTAAAAAAAATAGCGTACAAAAAGTTAGGTCTACAACAAGATAAACCCCATTCTCATCCAAAGCTTACCAAATATTAAAAACAATATATTAGGTTGGTAAAAAAGAAATGCGCGTTTTCGTTAAAAGTTTATTTTATTATAAAAATAAGATAACAATACATTAATCCAAAAGGTATTCGCCATCTGCATCAATGACTTGTCGCCAACGTTCACGCAGAGAATGGATGCCCTTCTTCAAGAACTCGACCGGCTGCGACTCGAAGAAGTTGGACACCCAAATTTGGACCTCGTCGCGGTTCTTGAACTTTTTCTCGGCCAAGGAGTGGTGCATTGATCGGAACAGATGCTAGTCGGAAGGCGCCAAGTCTGGGCTGCATGGCGGATGAGGCAGGACTTCCCAGCCCATTTCTTCAATTTTCTGCTGGGTGATTTTTGCGACATGCGACCGAGTGTTGTCGTGGAGGAATTTTGTCGACGCCGTATCCACACCTTGACGTCGCAGCGCCTGCTCCACGCGGTCCAATTGGCCTTGGTAGAGGTTCGCCGTAACTGGTTGACCCGAATCCAGAACCTCAAAGTACACCAGGCCTTTACTATTCCACCAAACACAAAGCATCACCTTTTTTCCGTGGATGTCCGGTTTTGGAGTCGGTTTTGGAGCTTCACCGGGGTCCAACCACTGCCGCTTTCTTGCTGTGTTGTCGTATTGGATCCCTTCTCATTCGACGTAACAATGGAGTCGAAAAACCCACTGTTCTTGGCGGGGTGAGTGAGAATTCCGGCGATTGCGATGCGTGTCGCCTTGTTTGCGTCGGATAGCTTATGCGGTACCCATTTTCCGCATCTATTCGTCTTGCCCATGCCATGCAGATGGTTCTCAATGGTGCCATGAGTGCAGCCGAACTGTTCTGTCAGGTCGCGAGTGGTTTGGCGTGGAACCGACTCAATGGCTTCCTTCAATGCGTCGTTGTCGATGATTTGAGGTCGACTCCCGTGTTTTTGGTCTTCCAAGCTTTCGTCGCCGTCTCGGAAGCGCTGGAACCATCGTTTACACTGACTTTCGGATAGAGAGCATCTTCGTCAAACACAAATCAACAAACACGACGCTCATTTCTTTTTTACCAACCAAATAACTACCGTAACCTTGGAACTTTGCAGCTGAATTTTTAATACTTGGTTCCCCAGAGTCGATTTTATCTATCCACCAATTTTGGAGGTCCGTAAGTATATGTGGTTTCCTTGTTAGTACACAACTCAATAATTTCTGTCATCAGTTCAATACTGGCCATTAGTTCTTTCATTTACCTTTGTATATGGCGGAAAACTCCAAAGCTGAAAAAATAACAATAACCCATAAAAGATCGATTACCTAAAAGATAACTGTAAATATTTAGTGGTAGTTGCTTTACAAATGCAATTAATGGAAGAGGAGATGGTAGATAGATTGGAGAAATCTGAAAAAAGGCCCCAAATGGTGGCATGAAGATTGGTTGACTGAGTGCTGCGGTGAGATCCATCAGTTGTGCAGATATCTGAAAGCTTTTAGCTTTTATTTATTTTGTTATTAGAACTAAAGGTATGTAGCTTAGCTATTGGCTATTACTATATACCTCAACCACTTGTCTAACGGATTGTTTTGACTAACTCATGACATAGACCTGTATCAATCTTTGTCTAGTTCTTAGGAAATCTAACATCAAAAGGTGAGGGAGATGGAGACGGAAAAGGAGAGAAAAAGAAAAGAGGGAAAGGGAAAAGATTTTTTTATTTCTACTGTTGAATAATCTGTGTTTTACGTTGATTTTTTTGTTTTTGTAAGCTGAACTCCATTAGTGCAGTGTAATTTCGTTCAACAACTAAATTTAGCCCTATTGCAAAATACGTTTTTAGGGACAATCGGACAATCCGTCAACAAATGAGAGTAAAGACGAGAAGGGAAAGCAATCAACAAGGACAAATGATGCTCCTCATCCAACTGTTGATCAGACAATGTGGTTTTTTTTAAAATTTTTAAATGCCTCTTTATAACAATCATCGATATAACGATAACCTCGACATAAGCTTTGCTCTACATAAGCTGTGCTAGCTGTGCTCGGTGCCGGCGATCGTAATGTAAAATACGTTATAAAAAACCTTGATATAACGATTCTTTTATAACGATTTTCTCGAGATAACGATAAATTTTTCCAAAATATTGAATATTTTTACTGATATAACGATTTTTGCGACAAAGACAGACTTTAAATAGAAGGCTTGAAACGAGAAAATCGAAGAGGAGAACGATATTAACAAGGTGGCCGAGCCTATATGGATGCAGATTTGTGATCGGGATGATGTGGAAAAGAACATTAATGCAATGGATTTCATGCTTGCCGACGACTTCGTTGTCACTACAGATTTTCGTTCATTAGAAGAAATAGCCTTAGGCTCGCGAAATGCCGAAAATGTTCTACTTTCTGGGAGTGAAAGCGAAGAAGAAATTGTAATGGAAGTAATGGAAGAATGTAATGGAAGACTGTGTTTCGAAAAGTGAAGCCTTCGTATCCTATCAAAAGAAATACGCAAAGCAAAATGGAAACAGTGCTGTTTCTCGTGCTTTAACTGTTATTGATGGCTTTTTCTATGAAACAATTTTAAACTCTGTAAAGCAGAATACGTTAAATCATTTCTTTTTTCAAATTAGAAACTTGTCATCTTTGTATTTTGTTGTTATCGTTAATAAAATCGTTATAATGACCCTCTATAACGATTTGGTTAAGAAAACCAGTTTTCATTAGCTCTATATAACAATAGCCTCTATATAGTCTTACTGTACTATTTTTAGTTTTCTTTCTTCTTTTCTGAAAGTATTGTAGCAATATGTTATGCGGTCATGATTATCTGATTCACTTCTATTCGCCCCCTGAACAAAGAATATATGTTACTTCCGAATCTGACGTCCAGCTCTGATCCGGACGTCCGAATCTGAGGAGATTCATTCTCCTCGGAAACGGAGGTCCGACTCAGAGCTGGTCGTCCGACTCTGAGTCGGACGTCCGTTTCGGAGGAGAATGATCATTCTTCTCGGAATCGGACGTCCGATCTTGAAAACAAATAGTTTAAATGCAAAATCCAATGTTTAGAACAAAACAAATGAAAAAGGAAGTCAAAATGGAAATTCTCTCAATTTACTTTTTTTTCTTCACAAATAATTTGGTAAGATGTACGGTTTGGCAATTTGACAAGATGTTTTATTTTTTTTCTTTTATCTATACATTTTAACTATGTTTTAACTATATGTTTCTTTTTTAGCTTGTGAATGGCGGGCTTCGATGAGCAACTCGGGCAACGAAGTTGTTTCCCAAACACTGAAAAGTACAAAAAGATGATCGAGCTGTTGCAATCAGAAAGCAATTGGAGATCAAAAGCGGAGCAAAATCTTCACCGACGATATTCTCTATTCAACGAAAACGGGACTTCAATTCTGCTGCATCATGGCGATGGAGCAAAGAGGACGAAGGGAAAAAAGTCATTAAACGAGAGGATCTCTACGAATTGCTTCGACAAAAACACTCATCTCTCGGACACGCTGGTATTGGGATAATGTGGAAAGCTCTTCGAAGTTATTTCGGGATTTCAAAGGACATTTTGAGGATTTTCGTGGATCAATGCGAGGAATGTCAATTGAAAAAGAAGCTGCCGAAAAGGGGATCGTATTGAAGCCAAACATTTCTCGCCATCAAAACCAATGATGCCAACTCGATTTAATTGATATGCAGAGTGTTTCTTCAACCACGGATTCTTCAAACTGGTAAGCGGTTTTTAAAAATAATAATAGTTACTATTGTTCCTATAATCTCTATTTTTCTGTTTTAGATAACGGACGAGTGTTTGCAAACAAACATCTCGAAGATACGGTCACCCAATGGCCAGGATGCAAAATTGTACACGGAAAGCCGCGCCATTCACAATCGCAAGGCAGCGTCGAGCGGGCAAATGCAGATATAGAGGTATTTTGGATTGTTTATCTGGTCATTCAGGTCATTATGGTGTTTTAGGATATCATAAGCGCCCATAAAAGAGAGAATAAAACAATTGAATGGGCTTCATCAATACACGAAGAACATTAGGTAACTTTTTAAATTTTATGAAAAATTAAGTTTAATAGGTTTCATTCTGGGTTTCATTCTGGTATTAACCGTTCTCCTTATGCAAATAAGGAAATAGGTTTCATTCTGGTATCAACCGTTCTCCTTATGCAGCAATGTTTGGTCAAGAGCCCGAAGACGATGCAACAATTGTTAACGATGAGGTAAAGTATTTTTTATTCGCATCGCATCATCGAAACTTGTCGTTTTTAAACACTCGGCTTCTTTTTAATGAAAAACCTTCAAAACAAAGCTTTTCAATAACTTTCAAAGTTAGTTGCAAGGAAAATGATTGGGTTATCTAATAAAAGAAACTGTTTGGTATTTGGTTGTTTGAGGCGTACTCAATTAGAAAATGAATTTGGGTGAAAGACTTAGTACTCAACCTAATATTTATGTTTAGAGCAATTTCGTCTTGTAGATTGCTCCAACATCCGAAGATGATGCACTAGAGCAAACAATAAACGCCGTAGAGAACATATTAGTGGTTTTTTTGTATTTGTACTTACTTTTATTTGCGATTTTAGGAAGGTAATTCGACTCGTTACACGGATCTAAGCTTTACGAATTCGATAGAGGAAAATGTTGAGGTATAATTCAAGCTTTAGATAAACATGTCTCTTTTGTTTAGGAATTATCTGCGGTTGGTGAAGCCGATTTTCAACTTACACTTGTTGGAGCAATACTTGGTCTGTTTTTGAAAATTTTAATTGGATTTTGTTTAATTTTAGGCCGACAAATTGTTGAGGAGCGTGTGGAAATCGATCGCCGACACGATTCGATTCTAATGGAAAGACAGGGAGCCTGGTCTGCTCAGGAGAAACAAGCACGAAAGATGCTTCAAGCCAGTGAATTAAGGTACTTTTGGAATTTTAACTTTTCATTAAGATTATTTTTATATTTTGTCCAATTGATGTTGGACAAAACGTGGTGCTGCCGATTCCAAATGTCGATCACCCCAAGATCGGCCCTCAAAACTTGCTCGGAGTCGTTACAGGTAATTGTCAAGTTATTTGCATTGTGTAAAAGAAATTTTAGGGGTTAATGACGGTTTCTACTCCATCGGCACACAAGATGGTCATCTTCGTCAGATGTTCACTAGGAATCAAATGGCTCCCTGCAACAACATTTTCATCTCCATCGATTCGATCCCAGACAAGGAGACAACAGTGAGAACAGCCGTTGGAGCAGCATCAATCACAGGAAGTCAAGGTAAGTAACTTTTATTAATTCTTAAATGGGTTTGATAGTTTGTAAATGTTTTTATTTGACTCAATTCTTTGCATTTAGGTCACAGCCATTGCATGTGCTTGAGCGGATGCACAACGAATCGGTGCGCTTGTCGAAGGAAGGACTTGCTCTGCAATTCGAGATGCCACCTTTCGAAAAGCTGTACTAACAAGTAATTATTGTCTCTTTTTTGTTTCAATTTTATTTTTAATGTCAATGGTCTATGCAACCGTTAATTTTCGTTGTTGTTTATGTTTGTTATGTTATGTTTGTTATAAAGGTTAACGGCACTTTAGTAGAACTTGAAAAAGCACAATCACATCAATTTTACCTTTGAATTTGAAAGAAAAAGGAAAATTTGAATCTGAATACATGTGTTTTGTTCAAAACATTGGATTTTGCATTTAAACTATTTGTTCTCAAGATCGGACGTCCGATTCCGAGAAGAATGATCATTCTCCTCCGAAACGGACGTCCGACTCAGAGTCGGACGTCCATCTCTGAGTCGGTCGTCCGTTTCAGAGGAGAACGAATCTCCTCAGATTCGGACGTCCGGATCGGAGATGGATGTCTCCTCAGATTCGGACGTAACATATATATTATTAAGAAAGTGCTCAAATCGCTTTATCAAGTGTTCACTTTTTTTCAATAGAATGATATTTATAGATTAGGGTAATACTTTGTGAATGGGGAAGGGGTGGTTGGGGACTACCAGAGCTCGTAGATAGTGGAGGTTGGGAAGAAATTGCGCTTTGTGTGAGTGCCTGAAATGTTTTTCATAATATTGTGATAGAGATTATTTTAATTACTGTTTTTCTCTAATAGTAGTGCACCCCGCCGAGCCGTGTTGGGGACTATTTTACGGGTTTCCAAGCTTTTGCCGAAGCTCAACACTCTAATCCCCCACTAGATCTCATCGTCAGCTACATTTTCCGACCCCACATCGATAGGTTCTGATAAGCGCTTGTCGAGATTTCGAGCAATTTTGGCGACGCTCAGGGTGCACTAGTATTAGACTAATACGGTATCTCTATTAGGAGGATTTAAACCAAGTATTCTAAGTCAGTCAGACCAGATCAGGTCTGATTTGGCTTCAGACAGGCCTCGGGGCTCTTCTTAGATTAATCAGATCAGTTCAAGACAGACTACTTCTTTGTTTCTATTAAAGAATTGTAAAGGTAATCAGCTGAATACCGTAGTTTTCTCTTGCTTGCTCCCAAATTGTATATATCGAGAACATCCTCAAAGGGAATATCCATCATTGGTTGTCGCATTATCAAACGTCGTTTCATTCGTCGAGACACCAATGGAGTGGATTCACTGAAACGATTCAAATCATACAAATTTCTTTCTTAATCTCTCTATCCTTTCATTTTCTTATCCTACAGAATTTTGAGTTAAAAATCTGATCATTTGACTCACCTTTGAGCAATGAGGGCAAAAAATAAAACAACGATGAGAATCATTTGTGGGGCTTTCATTTTTTGAGACTGATTTTAGAGCTTCTGAAAGTAAACATTTGAATTATTAGATAAAAGCTGAGTGAATAGTAATGAAAAAGGGTGGAGTAGTTCCATGTTCTCGTCGTACTTTGTGCTTGAACAAACACGAACCCCTGGCGCACTTGTTTTCCATATTTTTCTTAAGTGATTGAATAAAATGAAGATTTTCAACGTGTTTGAGCACAAATTACGAACCAGATTGTAAGATTACTGTAAAATAGATCGAGTCTACTTTGAAAAACTTGAAAATTATATAAATGTTTGATTCAAAAGTCAAAAGGTGAAAAGCGATTTTGATTGAAGTTGGAAAAAGTGGAAAAAGTGGGAAAAAGGGAAGCAAATTTAAAGAAAATTTACCGGTAGCCAGGTGTTATTAGATCGTTTTTTCTATGAACGTTAGAGTCGAACTTTTTACGCACAAATTACGAACCAGATTGTAAGATTACTGTAAAATACATCGAGTCTACTTTGAAAAACTTGAAAATTATATAAATGTTTGATTCAAAAGATTGAGCAAAGGTGAAAACCGATTTTGATTGAAGATGGAAAAAGTGGAAAAAGTGGAAAAAAGGGAGTAAATTTAGAAATTTACCGGTAGCCAGGTGTTATTAGATTGTCCTTTTTCTATGAACTTTAGAGTCGAACTTGGATATCAAAAATGGAATTGAAATGAGCATACGGAGTACCAGATCTCCTTGTGCTCCTGGGCGTATGGCGTACAAGATTTCCTTGCGCTTGTTTTGTGTTCAAAAATCAAGATCCCATTCATTTCAACAGATCGGATCTATGATTTTTGGGCGAGGTGAGATTACGGTAAGCTTAGGCTTAGGCTTTGGCTCAGGCTTGGACTTAGTGCGAAGGCTGGCGGCCAGCGCTTCGCACTAAGTCTATTTGGGTTTGGGCTGAGTCCCCATTTCCTGGATCTCAGCCAGTTCCCGGAGCTAAGGGACACCCGATTGCCTTTGTGCTTTGGAACCCAAGGGGAGTATGCTCACAAAATTTCAGGTCACTCTCGTGTCTGGAAGTTGAGATATATTAGGTTGGTAAAAAAGAAATGAGCGTCGTGTTTGTTGATTTGTATTTTATTCACAGTAAAAAATTTTTTAAATAGTTTATTCTATTGGAAAGAGCGTGTTCTTGCGCATCGTTTGATATATAATTTGTCTATGTTTACTTTGTTTTTTTACAAGAAAAAGTGTTTAGAAAATGTCGGACCAAAAATTTCGCTTGCGGGCCTGCTTGTGGTATGAATTTAAGCAAGGCAAATCGGCTCTATCTCAAGTGTTTGACGAAGATGCTCTATCCGAAAGTCAGTGTAAACGATGGTTCCAGCGCTTCCGAGACGGCGACGAAAGCTTGGAAGACCAAAAACCCGGGAGTCGACCTCAAATCATCGACAACGACGCATTGAAGGAAGCCATTGAGTCGGATCCACGCCAAACCACTCGCGACCTGGCAGAACAGTTCAGCTGCACTCATGTCACCATTGAGAACCATTTGCATGGCATGGGCAAGACGAATAGATGCGGAAAATGGCTACCGCATCGCAATCGCCGGAATTCTCACTCACCGCGCCAAGAACATTGGGTTTTTCGACTCCATTGTTACGTCGGATGAGAAGTGGATCCAATACGACAACACAGCAAGAAAGCGGCAGTGGTTGGACCCCGGTGAAGCTCCAAAACCGACTCCAAAACCGGACATCCACGGAAAAAAGGTGATGCTTTGTGTTTGGTGGAACAGTAAAGACCTGGTGTACTTTGAGGTTCTGGATTCGGGTCAAACAGTTACGGCGAACCTCTACCAAGGCCAATTGGATCGCGTCGACCAGGCCCTGCGATGTCAAGGTGTGGATACGACGTCGACAAGATTCCTCCACGACAACGCTCGGCCGCATGTCGCAAAATCACCCAGCAGAAAATTGAAGAAATGGGCTGGGAAGTCCTGCCTCATCCGCCATACAGCCCAGACTTGGCGCCTTCCGACTACCATCTGTTCCGATTAATGCACCACTCCTTAGCCGAGAACAAGTTCAAGAACCGCGACGAGGTCCAAATTTGGGTGTCCAACTTCTTCGAGTCGCAGCCGGTCGAGTTCTTGAAGAAAGGCATCCATTCTCTGCGTGAACGTTGGCGACAAGTCATTGATGCAGATGGCGAATACCTTTTTGGATTAATGTATTGTTATCTTGTTTTTATAATAAAATAAACTTTTCAAAAAAACTCTTTTTTACCAACCTAATAAAAAGTGGATTTTGGGATAGAAACCTGATCTCGAAACTATTTGAAAGTTGTAAATCTCCTCTACAAAATAGGCTCAAACGTGTTTCAATTGATCGAACCATTCAAGAAATTTCGAGGGCGAAATGAGTGAGAAAGCGAGTGACCAAAAAAGGGCACTTTTTGAAAACCCCACTTTCACAAGAGTTCGGTTTTGACTATATAGTCGAAAATGACGGCCCTAAAATCATTATCCTAAAAATATCATTCAAAATAATTAAGAGTCGGAATCATTTCATGGGAAAACTTTGTTTTTACAATAATTTTTCTTTTTTGTGAAAAAGCCGGTTTTTTGACAATTTTGAGGGTTTTGAGCTTACGCTCTATCTAAATTTCTGTAAATGTATTTCCGTTAGACTTTTTTAATGAATTGTTATATAGTTATCCTTTTTTTAAATCTTCAATTTTGGGAAGCTAACTCTATTTTGACCATACTAAAATTTGTCCCTAAAGTGACTCGATTCCCTTTTTGATCACTCGCATTTCGCCCTCGAAATTTCTTCAATGGTTCGATCAATTGAAAGACGTTTTAGCCTATTTTGTAGAGGAGATTTACAGCTTTCAAATAGTTTATAAAATTCATCGATATCAGCTTTCTATTATTGGAGAATTATGAAAATGTTGAAATCCGCATTTCTTATGTATGTACCTAATATCATTATAAAGCTTTTCACTACTCGATATTTCAAGTTCAGTTTTCTTCAAATAAAGAAATTCGAAGTTTCAACGGCGTTTTTGATCTCTGATAAAAAAAGAAAAACCTCAAAAAAAGGAAATACTAAAAAGCTTTTGCGACTACGCGACTGTACGAGGGGGTGGGGGGGGGGGTACTATTACAGTATTTGCGGTATGTGTATATTGTGCTTATAAAAATTTAAAAATAAGGCACAAAACACTTTAAAAATGTCGTTAGAAAGCGTTAACACATAGAAAAGAATACATAGAACATGAATACAGTCGAATCTCATTATCGATTGCCTCTACTAGAGCCTCTCACATCACACACACACACACAAAAGTACCATAGCTTGAGCAACGTTTAACAAACCAATCCCTGAAAAGTCACGTTTTGGGCCAAATGAAAATTTAGAAAACATCATTTATCATTTAGAAAACAAAATCATGCATAATTTAAGTAAAAAGTGACGTTATATAGGTTTTTTTTATTATTAATTTGTTCAGTGGATCAAATCAAAAACAATTTGACGTTATGCAGATGTGTCGAGTGTACAGATACACTCAACGACGAGTTTCGATTGTACATGAGCATCAAGTTATCTACAGGATGATCAAAAAATCCTGTAGATAACTTGCTCAAGTCATAAATAGACTCCACGCCTATTTTACCTCTAGGAAACCATTTGGATTGGACGATGCAATCCGGAATCTGCACAGAAGATGTGAAGAAGTCATCGATAAAAATGGAGAATACGTTACCGATTTGATGATCATGAAGTCAAAAAGGCGGTCGACAACTATTTTAGCTCCAAAAATCCCCAATTTTTCACGAATAGAACCAGGGACTTGGTGGGAAGAAGGTGGGAAGAAGTCATCGATAAAAATGGAGAAGACCTTACCAATTCATCTTTGCTTGTTTGAGTTTTTTCAATAAATATTGGGTTGGGGAGAATGAGTCGGCGCCAAACTTTAAAGGGACTTTTTGCACACATAAAGCCTTCTTTAAACATACGTTTGGTTTCATCAAAAGGATCCACTATTTCTCTACAAAACCACTTTTGAGAGATTCCACAAAGCTTTTCTTTCGTGGAGTTTATGAACTTCCAAACGCAGCTGGTTAAAATGGCAAAGAGTCCGACTCATCATTTGAACAGTTTCTTTCACATAAACCTTCTTTGGTGTTTATATAAAAAAGATAGAGCACATTTAATTACTTAAGTTGCCAAATTTGCAGGAAGATCCCACCAATGGTTTTTTCTAGATGACAGTTTGTAGTTTTTGTGAAAAAATGGCTTTTTTCTTGAGCGGAGGCGCTGTTTGAATTTTCTTTTAAATGTCATTTTGTAGAGAATTAGTTAACCATTCTACTGATATCAAACGCATATTATTTGACGAAGTCGAATAGAAGTTTTAGACATTTTTTTGATTTTCGGCGCCGACTCATTCTCCCCAACCCAATAATTTTGATCAAAAAACGCCCTGAAAAACGGCTGGGTCAAAAATGCTCCCCAGAAGTTCAATTTCGGACTGGGTTTGTTAAATCAATATAAAAATCAAATCAAAAACAAAATCAATGTTCACATGACATTCTGATCAGTTGTTTTCAAGTTTAATGTTATTTTTTATGTCATTTCATTTAAGTTAACTTTTTTGTTGAGCTTTTATTCTCATAACAAATGCCATACATCAATGTTTCAGTCATTTCCCAACTCTTGGACCATCTCCGTCCCCTTCACATAACCCCCATCATCGACGAGGACAATGTCATTGCATTGAAGTGTTTTGTAAGAACAGAGAACCTGCCCATCTGTCGAACAAATTGTGAAGTATTTCACTTTAGTTCCACATCAAGCTTTAACAAG